TTAGGTATGAACTTCATAGTACATGGGCTCATGCCCTGTTCTCCTCCTTCATGCCAGTTTTCTCCTTGGAATCCCAACACATATGGACTCTATAGGGATCCCAGATATCTAGCCAAGAGTTTGGCTTAGAGTTAGGATTAAGAACAAAAAAATCCAGGAATGTGATGTTCTTGATGAATCAAAAATCAGTGTCCTACAAAGTGGAAGGTAGATGCCTTCTTGAAAGAAATATTTCTGCAATTAGACTCTCACTTCTTCATTACTCAATAATGAGAACCTACCTATGACTATATTAAATTTTTATCCACCCAAAAATGCATGGTGCATTCTGTCCTTCAGCTTCTGCCTTCAATTTGGAAGCCCAACTAATTTTGGCTTGGTAATTATCTCAGGTCTTCCACCTTTGCTCTTCTATTTTGCCCAAAATCCAAGCCTAGCAAAGACCTTCATTTAATACTAAGTTACAAAAACTTTGTTTGATGTAAAGATTACAACTAACCCTTCTGTTTCCTATTGTCAGACCTCATTTGTCCTATGTACTTTGTCAGGACCCTGAGTGCACTAATAGACTTAACAGCCCCAACAACATTATATTGCCCCCCACCCATGGGCTCAGGAGCCCTATTTAAGCTGAGCCCTGGGCCTTCACTCCACACTTGAGCTATGTGGTAGAAGTATGGGTCTCTAGCTCAGCCATGACTATGTCTAGCCATGTTCATCTGGATTTACAGACTGACTTCCTACCTTGACCTTAATCTTTTCTCATCAGTACAGACCTGCCTGGCAATCACTAGGTTATGTCTGCCCCTAACCTGTGGGCTGCCTTCCCAGCTTGACCTTGGACCTTCCTTGTTGCTTGCCTGATTATCTGGACTCTTGGCTCAATCTGGTGTGCCCTGCTTGCTTTGCTCAAGTACTGTGGGACTGGGTTCTGGCAGTGAGGCTCTGTTGTATCAGCTGTGTTATCAGTGTTTGGCTCCTGCCCTTTATGAAGCAGCCAGCCCTCACTGCTCCTGATGCTTTTCTGTTTTACCTTCAAAATAAACCCAGTATTTCTATATTTAGTTTCACAGTCCTAACAGTAACTCGCATGTCAAAACTAAGTGAAACACTGATTTTTTTTTTTCCTTAACATTACAAAATCCCATGATTAACTCTCTGATTCTAGGCCTGAACGTGAAACGTTAATTCCTTTTGATTCAACTGACTTGTATCTTCTCTTCCTGTTTGCAACCTGAACATTACCCTTTTGAGTCTTAACAGGTGTATGTCCCCATTTCAATAGGGAGAGTATGAGCTATTCCCCCTTCTTCTTATCAGCCCTGATGACTGGAACTTAGCTTGAAACCCCTCTAAATCTGAGAAGAGTTGCTTCTTGTTCCACTGATTTTTATATTATTCCCTCCCCCCCCCCCCCCCACCC